TTTGGTCCCAAGGATCAAATTCGGGTCCATGCATTTGCAAGGCAGGCAGCGGCACCACAGAGCTAAATTCCCGGCCCTGGGCAGAATTTTCTTGCTTGCACTTTGTACCCTACTTGTACACATGAATCACATACGTGGTTATGCACACACATAACCTAATGGAAAGTCTGGCTTCATTTTTGTCTGTTATCTCGTTTAATCGTGTATTTCTGACAACTGAAAATATAGGCAGCAAGAACCTTCCACAGAGTCTGAGAGAACTTGGTGCTGGTTGTACTGATATGCCAGTTTCTTTGCCTATCCCTGACATTTCTGGAAAAATGGCTGTTTGTATGAATTTTGAAATTTTCCCTTTTCTATATGTGAATTTTCCTTTAATATAAACATGTCCCATTAATAGAAATAACTCAGCATTTTGTTTGTTTGTTTGTTTTGAGACAGGGTCTCGCTTTGTAGTTCAGGCTGGCCCTGAACTGTGTAGCCCAGGTTCGCCTTGAACTCACTGCGATCCTCCTTCCTCAGCCTCCTGAGTGCTGGAATTACAGGTGTATACCACCATGTCCAGCAGTTACTCAGCATTTTTGAGAGGGGGGGCAGTACTGGGGATCAAACTCAGGTCCCTGTGCTTGCAAGGCGGGCGTACTCAGCATTTTTTGATATCCTAAAAATAAAGCCTCTTTTTTTTTGAAGCAGGGTCTCACTGTGTAATTCAGATGGGATTTGAACTCACTGTATAGCCTAGGGTGGCCTCAAACTTGTGGAGATCCTCTTGCCTCCGCCTCCCAAGTGCTAGGATTACAGATGTGGATCACTCTGCCCAGCTCTTCTTTTTTTAAAAAAAAAATCTTACTCTTTATGATGGGGTGGGGAGGATATTGGTTTGTTGTTGTTGTTTTTTGTTTTGTTTTGTTTTGAGACAGGTGTGTCACCATGTAGTTTAGGCTGGTTTTGAACTCACTCTGTGGCCTAGGCTGACCACGAACTCATGGTGATCCTCCTATCTCACCCTCCTGAGTGTGGGATTACAGGCATATGTCATCATGCCTAGCTGTTTTTAATCATTGTATGATAGAATTAGCATATCCCGGATTATTTTAAAACCAATTGTCAAGAAAGTCTGTGATAGCTTGTGTGTGTGTGTGTGTGTGTGTGTGTGTATGTGTGTGTGTGTGTGTGTGTGTGTGGAGAGAGAGAGAGAGAGACAGACAGACAGACAGACAGGGCAGTCCTCCTGCCTCAGCCTCCCCAGTGCTGGCATTACAGGTGTGCACCACCTGACTTTTTAATTTAACTGAGGAGGAACCATAGAATATTAAATGTCTCTTGCAGTGGGAAGAATTTTTACCAGAAGTACTAATTAAGAGTTATCACTTCCATAAGCCGGGTGTGGTGGCACACGCCTGTAATCCCAGCCCTCCTGTAATCCCAGCCCTCGGGAGGCTGAGGCAGGTGGATCGCTGTAAGTTCGAGACCAACCTGGGCTACACAGTGAGTTTCAGGACAGTCTAAACTACATAGTGAGACCCTGTCTCAAAAA